AAGAGAATTTTTCCATAATCTATGACTCTGATAAATTCATTGCTCCAAACTACGTTCATTAGAAGCAAAATAAAGAATAAATGTAGACTAATTTGAGAAATGGGAAAATAATAAATAAGAATTTTTATGAGTAGAAAATAAAATAATTGAGGTAAAACCAAAAAACTTAGGCAACTAATAATACCAAGTAAAGGTATACATGAACCAAGTGCAGATAATAGCCAGAAACAAACAACAAAATGGGACAAAATGTTGGCACACTGTATGAAGTCGTAAGTGGAAATGGCTAAATACAAAGTGGGTGTCTCAAAGAAATTTGGGGAGATGAAGTATTTCTCAGAGACCATAGATGATGCAGACTGCACTGAACAGAGTCTAGCGTTTTCCAGCATTCACACAAGTCCACTCAGAAAAAGAATCAGAGACCAAAGTCTTTTCTAGCGGAAGTTCTGTGTTCACACTGTGCCTGCAGGCTGTGTGCAAGGCAACTCTGGCGAGGACTTGAGTGATCAGCAACTCCTCAGAGCAGCACCCAGTCCTGCCGTCTTTTGGAAAGGACTTCTGGACCAGGCTCTGATAATTAAGTGTATTCATTAGGAGGACTAATAGTTCCAGAAATATCTTGGCTCCAGAGATCAGCTGTCTAAAGGAACCAAGATTTCAGTCTTAAGGAAAGGGGGTGGTATTGTTGAGGGTGTGTGGAGGGCATTGTCCATATTTTGGATGAACAGTAGATAATTTCAGAAATAGTGCTATGTGGGTAGAGCACAGGATTACAAGTTTATGGTCCAAGCAGAAAAAGAGATGATGTCTATGAAAACTGAGATTCCTAAAGGGATGCTTCCTTTTATAGGAGTATGAGATAAGCCCTGGAGCCATGGGAAATGAGGCTGATTATAGAGAATCAACAAGAATTGAGCACACAACACACTACGGGAGACTGAGACCACATGCAGGGCACACAGGGCAGAAATCTGGGGTTTATTCATAAGAGAACAATAAAAACTCCAAAATGCAGAGTACACAGGGCACGGGAGACAAAATGCAGTGAAAGACAAGGCGGATTCAGAAGCTTTTCAGTTATTATGCTGAATTTTCTCACTGGATACACTCCATATAGTATAGACAGAGCTCAGTTTTGTGGCAAAGATAAACCAGGAAATAGAACTTCATTGGAAATCTTTGAAGTTTCTAATCTTTATGTCAGGAGTCCAAAAGATCTGTAATATTCCTCATCTAGATTTATAGTCTTTCAGTTTTCAAGTTATCTGAAAACAAACTCAGGCGTTAAAAGGATTTTCTTCATATAGGTGTCGCTCCCCCTCTTCGTGGAGGAACGACACTAAACCCTGCCTAGGCTTCATATCCGAGTCACGGCACCATTATGTCGCTCCCCCTCTTCGTGGAGGAGCAACACAAGACCCTGCGCTGTTCTTTTCGTCTGCTCGGCCCTCCCCGGGTTTGCTGCTGGTTCTTCCCGAGTTGGCTACTATCCCTTCCACCTCCGTGGAAGGGCAGTTCCCCCTGGCCACATTCCCCACTTCCGCAGGGGAGTGGCACACCGCCGGCCGGCTTTTTCGGGGGCTGCACGGGTGTTCCTTCAGCTAGATGTTCCCCTTAGATGTTCCTGGTGCATGCCGTCTCTCTCCTCCTTTATAGTCCTCCTCCGCCAATCCCAACTCGGCTGCCCACACGCCGAGTACGCCGCTCTCCTCCAGTCAGGAGCAAGTCCTACAGTTTATTAGTTGAACTGGAGGCAGCTGTGCGGAAGCTGTTTACTTCTCTCCCAGCACCATATTGTGGGAGAGCAGATGCATAGAATAAGTCTTAATTCCAGTAACTCAGTCCAGTCCGGATTGCTCCCCACAATAGGGAAAAGGGAATCTGATGATAGGTAGTACTGGTAATAGAGGATAGAAAGTATAATATAGGTAGTCATAGTTTCCAAAGCTTCTATATTGTCATATCCCCATATGGCTGAAATTTACTTAGCAGGTTTACTATTTATCTTGTTAGTATTTTTCAAAAATCAGAGGAAAATATTAAAGAGGGTTGAAATTAATTTAAATCATTTTATTCCTAGCACAGGTTTTTATTGGGTTACAGTCATGGCAGGCATTGCACTAGGACTTGGAGATATAGAAATGAATAAAACAAAATATAGTTTTCAAAAAGTTGGTGCCAGCGCTGTGGCACAGCAGGTTAACGCCCTGGCCTGAAGTGCCGGCATCCCATATGGGCTGCTCCACTTTCGATCCAGCTCTCTGCTATGGCCTGAGAAAGCAGTAGAAGATGGCCCAAGTCCTTGGGCCCTTGCGCCTGTGTGGGAGACCTAGAAAGAAGCTCCTGGTTTCAGATCAGCGCAGCTCCAGTTGTTGCAGCCAACTGGGGACTGAACCATCAGATGGAAGACCTCTCTCTTTCTCTCTGCTTCTCCTCTCTGCGTAACTTTGACTTTCAAATAAATAAATAAATCTTTCTAAAAAAAGTTGAGTCTGGTAAAGAAATACATATTAGTATAACATTCATTCCAAAGCAAATGTTTATGATCCAGTTCTAAAGTATAGCAGTAGAACTATGCTCATGGTAAGAAACTCAGTAACAATCACAAAAGCTCAGAGATGGAACAGTTAGCTCTGCTGGAAGACTATTGAAAGGATCAACCATGAACTTTGCCACTGACATTAAAATGCTCCTAATTTCATCAAAAGGCAAAATTGAGTACAGACACAGTATCAGGGGCTGTGTTATTATATTTTTATGAGAGAAGGAGGGGACTGGGAAGAATAGGTTGAATTATTTTGTCAAATTTTAAAAGTTAAGAAAACTTTTCAGCGTTTCCAGACTATTGCCTTCCTGTTCCCTTTTCCCATCTGCTTTGGTGGCACAAGTCATAATACTAATTCATCCAGAGCAAGAGTGCAAAAAACCCTACTTCATTTGTAATGTTTGACCATAGCCTTCAGCTATGGTTTAGGAAATTTCAATAACTAAGAGAGGCATTTTATGGACAGAGAAGGCAAAGCAGGAGAAGAAATACTGAAATGTTTTGAGGCCATCTTCCCCTGCAAAATTGCTATTTTTATTTTTCTTAATATGTGCAATGAAAAATTGTATATGTTAGTAGTTTTGCATTGTAATAATTTTCAATATAACTTTGCAAATCTGTCTAGGAGCAAGTAGGTATTTGATATATCATATCTACTTATAAGTATTAATTGAATACATTAATGGGTGAGTTGGAGAAAGAATTACACTGGATAACACTAAAAATTGAAATCAAATGGATTATCTTAATATTCCTAACCTATTTTAGTGGGATTACTTTTGACCTTGGGAAGGCCATCAAGTGGTCTGTGACAATAAGATTTTTAAACATAAGAGATAACCTCATCTAATTTAGGAAAGTAGTAGAGCCGATTATGCCAATCAGACTGTACAAATGAGGAATGCTGAATTATGGTCTCTGACCTAATGCTCCATTACTTCATGACCTCCTGCAAATCATTTTACTCCTGTTTCCTCATTGGGAAAAGTACATAGACTTTATATGTAGGTTCAGTATTTGGTATCTATAGATCACAGTGTCCTGTTAAAGTTTAACAATGTTTGAAGAAATCCATTAATCATGGCTATTTTTATTTTCTATCATTTTTAGTTGTAAATATCAATGGAATCCACTATGAATGTGAAACAGTCCCAAAGAACTTTCCTTGACAAAATCTTGACTAGTTCTGCCATTCTAGGAATATATATTCTAGTCATCTATTTAAATGTAAAAATATTGACCTTTTCAGGGATTCTGATTGAACTTTGGAGTGAAAAAGAAGGAAATTATGTTGTACTGGTTAAACACAAGCATTAATAAACTATTTTCAATTCCTGCAATGGACAGTCACAGGCAAAATATGTGTTTAACTGAAGCAGCAGTATTTGATTGAGTGATCAGGCACAGCATTTCTAACCACATCTTGCACTCTGTTGTTGATTGCTGTTCTTTATGTTATGGCTAGAAAATCCCAGAATAGCAATTGTAGGATGAAAATGTCATCAGAGATTGTAAAAATGAATTTCACTTTATATAACATTTTTCATGTGTCCTGTGTTTTAAAATGGAAAAGAATACTCATGAACAATATTTGAATGACAGAAAAGGAAACAAATGTTACTATGTGAAGAATGAATATAGTCCAGTCCAGTGGCTATGGATACTTTTCCTACAAAAAAAGAGTGAAACAGTATGAAGGCACCAAAGGACCTCTGTCTCTGTCAGCACAGTTTTGATACATTCTAAAACTGCTAATACAAGTACTGGGACAAAAACTACTGTGTTATTTTTACGTGGGCAGATTTTCAAAGAGTTGTTTTTAAAACTGTCTTATTGACTTTCTCATCTTTAGTCAGTGAATAAAAATAACATAAAGGCTTTTTTCCTAGAATTCACGATATGAAATTATCAAGGATATAATAGGACTCAGTTTAAATAATTTCAATGTGATTATTTAGGAGTAAAGTTTAATTGCTTGACATTAAGCCAATTTAGTTAATAATTTGTAATGCCAAGCCGCAACATATTTAATTCTTCAGCAAGCTAGAGAGGGGATTGGAGAGCTCCAGGGTAATGTGATTATTCTTACCTTTATCTTGTAACTAAGCACTCATTATTTAACCTATCTTAGAAGGTATATAGGGAACAACAAAAGCACAGCACCATGACTAGATAGTAAATGACATGCCAAAAACAAAGAGAAAATGAGTAATATGGATTCACTTATAGATATGTTGTTCAAGAAAATCTTCCTTAACCACAACCACCTCTCCAATGAGGCCAGAGAACCTGTCAACTGTTTTCATAACACTGTATATTCTTTCACAATGCTTGAGGTCCTTGAAACAGTTAGAGTACAACATCTAATCAGAGTTTGTCATACTGCTAGACTTTCACCCCCAGGTTTCACTATTGTGTCACCAGTAATTAGTACAGAGTACATTCACCTGTATTGATTGAAATGACATATACAATATTTCAGAAACAAGCAGACTTATCCCTTACAAGTACAACCATAATCTGACTCTTAATATAAGTATATCCATTTCAAAAATAAATTATCTTCATTTCAGATCCTAGAATTTAGCCATGTCAATTGAAACAAATTCTGTGGACAAAGGTGTCTGAAGCTTGAAGAGACAGATCTTCAGTCAGCTCACTTTCCTTTCCTTTAGGATCTTTATTGGAAATTTCTGCGTACCCAACTTGGAAAGGTCAAGTACCCCTAATCCAGCTGCTTCTCAAAGGATGACACTCTGATTTACTGAGAGACAATTTTCAACTCACTTAAAACACTTCTGGAGAGAAGGGAAAGAAGCTGCATAGCCAAGGGGATTCACCTACCAAAGGATTTCACTGTAAGTAACAAAAACATTAGGACAGAACTACGGTAATAATATTTTAAAGATGTAATTGTATGGTACTTTTCTGCCGAGGCGTTCAAAGCATTATTACATTTGTCCTCCAAGGACAATTAAAAATGGCTCATCACACAAAAGCCAAAGACAAAGGCAGAATATGAACACTTGAGGGCTATTTTCTTGATTCATGCAGATTATTTATTATCTCTTTGGTGCTTTACCACTCAAAATATATCAATTGAAAAAGTACAATTGCCATTACTATTTCTTAAATAAAAATAATCAGAATCTATCGCTTGTTTGTCCTAGTAGTGATTTTCCTTCATTTCCTTTATTTATAATCTCAGAATTCCTTCAAAAACGATACTGGCAATAATTATCTGGGTATGTGAGTATATATATGTATATATATGTTTTTATTCTCACTGATGCATATAGAGATAAGTATGTATGTAGATTAGATTAGATAGATGGTAAATAGATCTCTTAGATTCATCTTTCAGGAATTAGAGTTGGGTATAAAGTACCTTATTTTAATATGGTCCTCCATGGTACAGCCACTTAGGAAAGATTATAGAGAAACTGAGAGGTACTACTTCAGTTAGTAAATGAAATGATTAATAGAGAGTTTAAACCCCGTGGTTCATTCACAAGGAGCCCTCTACCAAGGTCAGGCTGCTCAGTCCATTTCTACTTGCAGTTTGGGTTTTAAGTCTCCAAAGCTTTCCCCAAGACATCAGTGTTGTTGTTGAGATACATGATTAATAATAATGTAAAGGGATCTTCTGTTTGTGCATTTTGTCCTATTATCTCACTTTTCCTCTTCTGCAGACCCAAATTAATTTATTCAAAAATCAAAATAGCTCAGGAACTCTTTTTTGACAGGCAGAGTGGACAGTGAGAGAGAGAGAGAGAGAGAGAGAGAGAAAGGTCTTCCTTTGCCGTTGGTTCACCCTCCAATGGCCGCCGCAGCCGGCGTGCTGCGGCTGGTGCACTGCGCTGATCTGATGGCAGGAGCCAGGTACTTATCCTGGTCCCATGGGGTGCAGAGCCCAGGGACTTGGACCATCCTCCACTGCACCTCCTGGCCACAGCAGAGAGCTGGCCTGGAAGAGGGTTAACCGGGACAGAATCCGGAGCCCCAACTGGGACTAGAACCCGCTCAGGAACTCTTATATATTTGCCCATTTGGAACAAGGAGAGGAATGATTGGTTAGGACACAGTTAGGAACATTTTGACATTTTATCCTACAGATATAAACATTCAGGTTATTACAGTTATCATAACAAAATCCTATGTTGTGCTAAATATTAATACATTGATTCCTGAAAACCTTTTTTCTGCCATAAAGTTCAAACCACTTTATAGCTTTTCTATCAACAAATCATTAATGCATATGCACCTTGTCCTTGCTCAAATGAAGAAGCAAGAAAATGTAGCCAAAATTGAGAAGTAGGCAAAGTTCATTTTTGTTTCCAAAAGATGTCTGCTCAGCTGATTTTGTCTATTTTCCTGAAATCCTCACTTGGTATTCTCAATTATGTCCTTCTTGGTCTAGCATTTCCTCTACCACCAAAACAGAGAAATATACATACATATATATAATATATATATATATGTGTGTGTGTGTGTGTGTGTGTGTGTGTATGTGTGATAATCAAGAATGAGAAAAAAGGGGCCAGTGTTGTGGTGCAGAGGGTTAAAACCCCAGCCTGCAGTACTGGCATCCCTTAAGGGCTACAGTCCGAGTTCCAGCTATTCCTCTTCTGATCCAGCTCTCTGCTGTGGCCTGGGAGGGCAGTGGAAGATGGTCCAAGTCCTTGGGCCCCCAAGCCCACATGGGAGACCAGAAGGAATCTCCTGGCTCCTGGCTTTGGATCGTCTCAGCTCTGGCTGTTGCGGCCATCTGGGGAGTGAACCAGTGGAATGGAAGACCTCTCCCTCTCTCTCTCTCTGTGGCTCTACCTCTCTCTGTAACTCTGTCTTTCAAGTAAATAAAAATTCTTCTTTAAAAAGCTAAGAAAAAAGCAAAGGGCATCTCTGCCTTGAGACTGGTAGAATAGAGGGGTGGACATTTTGAGTAGTAGTTGTGATGCTGCTTCAGATGCCCACATCCCATATCACAGTACATGGGTTGGAGTCGTGGCTCCACTCCCAATTCCAGCTGCCTGGCAGTGTGCGCCCTGGCCAGGTGCACCAAGAAAGTGACGAGTCATATATGTGGTTACTCGCCACCTAGATGGGAAACTGGAATGTGTTCTTGGCTGCTGGCTTCAGTCGGATCTTGTACCAGCTATTGTGGTCATTTGGGAGAATGAACCAGTGGATAAAAGATTTGTCTGTCTGTCTCTCTTTCTCTCTCTCTGATTTTAAATGAAATTTAAAAATCAAAAACACATTTTAAAAGATTGGTAGAACATAGCAGTAATGTCTGCATTTTGCAAATTAAAAACCTGAAATTCAGTTAAGGTAACTGAATTACTTGAGATTACACTGCTAGCAAATGGTATATTGTAGAGTTTGATGAAAACCTTGTGCTGGAATTTTAAAACCTGTACTTTTAGTTTCCATTTTAGAATAGATGAAAGAAAGTAAGATATAATTTTTAATTGTTTAGAGCCTATGCTTTCAATTAAAATTAAATCTTTTTGGACTATAAAGGACAGAATTACATTGGCATAAGAGAACTGAGGCTGAAGATAAAGGAATGGATTTTAAGAAAGGAGTAGGCTTCCTGAAATGGATCTGTCTTCTAGGTCCAGACTGTTAACATTCTTACAATACCAAATGAGCTTCAGCCAAGATTACTGAATTAATTATTATAGTGAAAAAGTTAGGATAATGAGAGAGGCTGAAAAAAGATTAGAAAGGCAAACATCCTGAAGTTTTCAAAAAAGGAGAGTTGAAGATTTTTCACCACCAATAACCTACTGAAATAGACTTAGATCATAGTTAAGATTCTTCAACACTCTTAAAAAGATGACTTGGAAACAGAAAAACGATGAATCTGCAGAGATCAAACATGTCAAACTCACCTTCCTTGTTTTTTAAAGCAAATAAATTATTAGACCTGGGGAAAAAACTAGTGGAGAATGTATATTTGGAGCTCAGCTGGGTATGTAATATGTAACATATTTGTCGCCAAGATAGAGTGATAGGAGTTAGTAAATGAATGTTTATTAGATAAATACCTGGATTAAATATGATTGTATGTCAGTTGAAAGAATGTCTTATGACTTGGCACATAGCTTTCACTGGGCACTGCTATAATAAAAATTATCAGTATTCTTTGAGAAGATTGAGCGCATATGCATAAAATCTGTAGAAGAAATAATGCTGAGTTGGTTAGGAGGAAGGGTGAATAACAGAACATTTTTACATACAAGAATGATTAAAGTAATCTAATAAAATGAGGGTAACAAGAATAAAATTGGGTTAGAATTGAACTTTGCAAATATAGTGCATATAAGGGGGACAACTCTGGGGCCTTTGTCTATGCTAAGTTTATTATAAGTAAGAATAAGGGATATTCATAAAAATTGGTAACACCATCACAAGATTCATTAAAAGAAGCTAAATGATTACAATAAACCAGATGAAAATTCCTCTATTTCCTGTGTGATTCTATTTGATATAATTTTGGTCAATGTTTTAGAATGTCTTAAAAACAGAATAAAAGCGTGCCGTCCATAGCACACTGGCCATGGTGGCCATTTGGGGCGTGAACCAATGGAAAAAGGAAGACCTTTCTCTCTGTCTCTGTCTCTCTCTCACTGTCTAACTCTGCCTGTAAAAAAAAAATAAATTAATAAAAATAAAACAAAAACAAAAAAAAACAGAAAAATTAGAGTGATTAGAGTCAAATAAAATTATGAAAAAGTGAAAGAATAAATTTCTGAATTAGAAAGAAAAAGGTTTATGTAGAAATGTGTAAGCTACTTTTGATGACTTTTTTGATGACTTGATGTCACATACAAGAAGACTTTTAATACAGAATTAGAAAGCCATGTCATAAAGGTTCAGAGTAATAGCAATTGAGAAGTGGGTAGATGTTTGGTCTAGTAGATAACATGCTGTTCAGGACACCCACATCCCATATTGGAGTGCCTGGGTTCAAGACCTGGCTCTGCTCCCAATTCCAGCTTCCTGCTAATGTGCACTCCAAGAGACAGCATGTAATTACTCAAATGAGCAGATCCTTGCCATATTCATGGTAGTCCTGGATTGGGTTTCTGGCTCTTGGCTTTGACTTGGCAGAACTCCAGACATTGCAGATATTTGGGGCATGAACCAGCAGATGGGAGATTCTGTCTAAGTCTCTTTCTCTTTGATAAAGGGGAAAAGTTTTAATAGATTCATCTAATATTCATCTAACTTTATGCTTCTGACTCTGCAGTTGTACCTCACTCTAGCAATCACATATTCAAAGGACATAAGAAGCTAGAAGTTAACATCATGGGATGAGGTGAGGGATAGTTATACGATTGAGAAGATGGTATTATAATAGACAAGATTTAAATATAAGCATGGAGCGGAATTAGTTATGGTTTTTCAAGGTGTGTGCTACTATATTTTTGGAAGAATAAGTCTTTGGAATACAGAACTTCACCCCACATCACAGCATGCTGAGTATCCTTGGCTCCAGGAATATTAAACATCAGTATAATGCTCTAGTGCACGGCACTGTCCTTAAATGCCAATACTTATTTCCAATGTGTCCTGTTTGATCACCTCTCATTCTTTAAAATTCCAGACTACTTATCTTTAAAGTCCTTAGCAGTTGCAAGTTTTCTATTAATCAAATTGCCTATTCAAATATTTAATTCATATGTTGTTTGGAATACCACCAGGACTTTGTGTCTCTGAGTTTTGCCCTTCTTTCCATCCTTCCTTCCTTCCTACATGTGTTAAGTACTTGATGTACAAAGTCACTGATCGTGGTGCTGGTGGCACAGCAGTAAGTAAAGTACAGAAAAACTACAAGCTGCCTAATGGA